GGAAATGGCAAACCATTCCAGTATCTTTGCAAGAAAATCCCAAATGGAGTCAAAAAGGGTCAGACACAACAGAAAAACAACCAAACACTGTTCTACATTTCCTAGCTGATTTACAAGTCCGAATGAAAAAGACTAAAACGACTCTTGCTAGCTTAATGTAAAAAAAAAAAGTCCTGATCATAGATCTGGGAGGGACCTCAGAAGCCAGATAATCCATTTACATGCTTCTGCTGCCACTTCCCTTCTCCCATGGGTGAGTTCTTCCCAGAGCCTTCATTTTGAGGTAAAGTCCAGACTAGGCATCCTTCATTCTCCTCATAGAAGAGGAAATGAATTTGGTCTGGGTTGCCTAAGAGATGGAACTCGGACCCAATGAACAGATTAACTCTACAAGGAGGTGTATTTCTCCCTTTTCCTCTGCATCCCCCTTCTTTTATTTTGACTCAACCCAAGAACTTCCTCTCCATCATAACTACCCAGTAATAAGGTGGGCTGCCTCAGGGTTTGGTGACCTCCCATCCCAGGAAGCCTGCTTGTGGGATGATCACCTTTTTAGATTGTTATAGAGGGGGGAGCCAATGAGGAGTAGGGAGAACAGAGACCACGTGACTTCTGAGGGCCTTTGCAGCTGAGATTCTATGATTCTAAGGTGGATCCTCCATAATCAAGGAAGAAGGCAAATGTAACTGAGAGAATGCTACACTGCACATGCCCTGACGTAGACTTCTCTGTGCTATAATTGAAAAATAGCATAGGATGTCAGAGTCAGGCAAGTCACTGGATCTCTCTGAGCTTCAACCTCCCTATCTGTAAAATAGGAATAACAGATTTAGAACTGGAAGAGAACTCAGTGGCCAACTCCAACCTCATCATTTTATAGATGAGGAAACCGAGGTCCGAAAGATGACGTAATTTATTCAAGACCACATGGGTAGTAAGTAGCGGAGCTAGGGTTGCTATACAGCCCTCTGACTCCAAACCTAGCCCTCTTTCTTTTGTACCAAAACTTGCCCTGCCTAGCCCACAGGATTGCTGGACCAAATAAGGCAGTGTGCCTAAAGCGCTTTATAAACTTTAAAGTGCTCTAAAACAGCAAGCTGTTATTGTTATTGTTGTTGTTATTGCCTCTACCTCCTCCTCCTCCCCTCAACCTCAACCCATTCTTCCCCTGCAGGAAGTAAATTACCAAATTAAAAAGCCTGTAGGGAACTCGGAAGTATTTAGCAAGTTGACCATTTATTAAGGCACCATGTACTAGGCACTATGCTAAGCCCTGGTGATACAAATACAAGAAAAAAAGAAATCCAGTACCTGCCTTCAAGAAGCTGACATTCTAATGGAAGAAGATAACACATAAACGCATGAAAGGGACCTGAAATGGGGTGAGGAGAGCTGTAAGGGAGAAAGTATCATGGAGACTGGAGGATGGCTGGCCTGGACCCTTCCACAAAATAGAGATTCTGGGAGGAATTCATCAATGGGAGAAGTAGGCCACAGATGCGCAATGGGAAAGCTGTCCAAAAAAAGGGTGGCAAAGTGCCCAACACATAGTAGGCACTCAATAGCTAGATTCTAAATGAAAGAATTGCAAATTCTGAACATGTGATTCATTCCAATATGGAGGTGGGAAGTTAGTCCTACTTCAAGCCTTTATTATTATCTCCCTGGTCCACTGGGACAACACAAAACAAATCTTTTCCTTCTCCTATATGAGAGCCCTCCAAATGTTCCTGAGGTGACACTCAGTTCTTGATGGCTATACCAGACAATTCCAAGCTCTGGCATGTCTTCCCACCTCCACTGCTTTCCTACCCTGCATTCTAGCCTTGCTACCACTAAGCTCATATTTTTATTCGATCTGATCATGTCATATCTCAGCTCAAAAAATCTTCACTAGCTCCCTAATGCCTGAATTAAATTCAAACTCTTTCGCCTGGCATCCAAGGGCCTCCACCATTCCAACCTTAGCTGGGAGGACTCCTTTCCTCTAACTCTACACTCCAGGCAAATGTCATCCAAATATTCTCTGTGCTTTCCCACAACAAGGTCTTTGATCATATTGTTCTCTAAACCTGGAATGTCCTCCCTCCCCACCTTTTAACCTTTAAAATCCAACTCAAAGGCCACCTTCCCTGAAACTCCCTCTTCCCATAGCAACCGCTTCCTACTCTACAATGCAGATTTTTAGTGCACTGGCCATCTAACAATCCATGAGAATTCCCATGATATAGTAGACTGAGTGTTGAATTTGGAGCCAGAGGAACTGAGAGTCAATTTCCTGTTCTCCCACTTTGGGCGAGCTACGTAACATGTTTTAGCCTTAGCTTTCTTATTTCAAACAAAGGGGTTGGAAATGAAAGCTAAGACCTCTTCTCACTCTATACCTATGCTCCTATTATACAGGGTGTCCCAAAAGTCTTAGTACCATTTTAAAGCTTACGTATAAAGCTTATATACAAAGCTTATATAATATAAATGTATACATACATATGTGGGGCAGCCAACTGGCACAATAGTAAGAATGCCAGGCCTGGAATCAGGAGGACCTGAGTTCAAATTCAGCCTCAGACACTTATTAGCTAGGTGACTCTGCGCAAGTCACTTAACACTGTTTGACTCACTTTCCTCATCTGTAAAATGAACTGGAGAAGGAAATGGCCAACCACTCCAGTATCTTTGCCAAGAAAACCCAAACAGTGTCACAAAGAAGTAGTTGAGCACAACTAAAAATGATTGAACAGCAACAATATTTACACGTGTTATGCATACTTACTTTTTAAAAAGATATTTTAATAGTTTATGAAAGTCCTGATCTTTGGCAAAAATGCAAATGAAGTTATTACCCCTGAGATTTTTTGGCTCCTCCTTGTTCAATGTCCCTATGCTTTTCATTTGTCTCCCTCCTTGACACCTAGTAGGTACTTTATAAAGGCTTTCTCATTCATTTCTTTGCAGGGTTAACACAATCCCTTGCCTGTCTGGGTTGAATACTAGTCCAAGCTCCCAGGATTCAAGTCAAAGAAGATTCAGGTATTTCAGATGGCTACTCGTCACCCCCTTTTCCCCCAGTGTTGGTCCCTTAACAGTGCCCAACTGTCTGTCTTCCTCCCAAAATTTCTCCTCTAGGCTTTGGACCTTCCTGAAATAATCTTTCTTTCTTTAAGTTTCCTGAGAGTTTAATGGCTATAGTCTCAGGAATGCTAACTCACATTTGATCAAAATAACATATATTATAATTACTGGTATCTTATCCTTATACTAGACTCTAAGTGCCATGAAGGCAGAGACAGTGTTCTATCTAAATCGTCTATTTCTGCCAGTGTCTTGCAAAGTGCTCTGAATATTGTACCATAGATGTTTAATAAGTGTTTGTTGAAATTAAATTGCTTAAATAAAATTATATCAAATTTGGGCACTTTAATTCTTCTAGGTCCACAGGGTTTTTGGTGTGGTTTTTTTTTTGTAAAAAAAATTTTTATTTGTGTCATGGACCCTTTTGTCAGCCTGATGAAGCCTATAGACTCCTCCTCAGATTAATGCTTTTAAATGTGTAAAATAATATATAGGATTTCTAAGGAAACTAATTTTTTTTAAATACAGTTATCAAAATAGGTTTAAAAACAAGTTCACAGCCCCTGGGTTAAGATCTAGGAGCACCTCAGATGTCTTTTGAGAGGCAGCCAAGGTTGTCCTTCCTGGACAAGGGAGCTAATGGATGCCCCATTTACCCAGATCCAGAATTAGACACTATGAAATCCATAGCTTTGTGTTTGGGAGATCTATCCCCACCAGTCCTGGGGGTCAGTGGCAAGACTGTGAGATGTATGGTTCAGCTGCCTCCTAAAACAGAACACAGCAGGCACTGAGCTAACCAAGCCTCCAGGGCAGGGGCAGAGAGTGGAAGAGGGGACTAAGAAAGGGGGAGGGGGAGAGAACAAACAAAGTTATAGTGTATACAAGGAGACTGTGGGGGAAGAGTGCAGACAGAACCGTGAGCTTGAGGCCCCCCAGGGAGCTCCCAGACAGGGTTGGGGAGTGTGAGAGCTGGAGATTTCCCAAGGGGAAGAAAGCAGGTGGTGCAGGGAGGTTCTCAGGAGGAACCTGAGGGAGGGAACACAGAATTAGTGCTACAGTGTCTATATCAATAACAAAAACAATAATAATAACCAGCATTTATTGAGCACTTTAAGGTTTGAATAGTACTTTACATGGATTATCTCATCTGAGCCTCATAACAACTCTGAAAGATTGCTGCTATTAATTTTCCCATTTTACGAATGAGGAGACTGAGGCTGAAATAGGTTAAATGAGGTACAGCTAGTAAGTTTCTGAGGCAGGATTTGAAATCAGGTCTCCTTGACTCAAAGTCCATTGCTCTATATATATTGCAACACCTGGAAAGGTCCCCAGTCTGAGAGCCAGAGTCCATACCCCTGTATACAGCACACACAGATACACTTGCCTTGTTTAAGACACCAGGCAGCTGGTGGCATAGGGGATGGAATGCCAGGCCTGGAGTCAAGAAGATCTGAGTTCCAATTCAGCTTCAGTCACTTAGTAGTTATGTTACCCTGGATAAGCCACTTAACCTCTGCTCCTCAGTTTCCTCAACCATGAAATGGAGATGATAATAATAGCACCTACTTTGAAGATTAAACGAAATAATATTTGTAAAGCACTTTGCACAGTGCCTGTCACATAGTAGGTGGCATATAAATGCTTATTCCCTTCCATCATTCCCCTTCTCATCTGCCCTGGGAAAAAAGTGGGTTTGTAGTCCCCAAATCTGCAAGAGTATTACACTGTCTTAGAGGGTGAACACCCAGTAGCCTGGGCCTAGGTTGCTGGTATGAGGAAGGGAGGCGAGACGTTAACTATGCTATGTTAGTCAGTGTGCAGATGGACAGCATCAGAGAACTTGTCCAGAATGGAGATGAACGTAAATCCATCCTCACTTCATATAGAGCTGCAACATTTGGAGCCCTCTGCTTACCCACATTGGCAGGTGCCTCCAAATTATAATCTGAAGTCTCAAGAGCTTAACATCTCATCATCCTTCATCTCACTTCCAAAAACCCATGATTTCAGCAATGTGAGTACTGGCCCAACACAGATCACAGCCCCTCTAATGCCTTTCCTGAGTTGCCAAGATTCAAAAAATTTATTCCTTAGTGGCTACCCCTAAGGTAATGAGCACCTCTGCACTTTTGATAGGCTCTTAAAAGACAGATGAAGCATAGGACCTGCCAGAGCTTATACTGAATCAGCACAGCTTCCAAGAATCCAGGGTCAAATCTGGGACCTGGAGAAGAGACAAGGAAATGCAGCTCCTGACTTGTTGAAGAGGTAGGGGACTGTCAGTACGTGGTGTTGTAAGGGCTGCCAGACTGGGCAATGTGTTAGTTGATTTTCCTTAACTGTTGTTTTTTTCTTTATTACAAAGGAGCTCTCACTGGAGGGTCAGGAGAGAAGACAGCCAGAAATAGCAAAAGACGTAACAGAAGGAGGGGAAGAAAAAAGAGGCAGAGAAGAAGGAAGAAGAGATGGAAGAGGAGGAGAAAGAAGAGAGGAGGAAGAGGAGAAGGTGGAGGAGGAGGAAGAAAAGGAGGAAGAGGAGGAGAAGGAAGAGAAGGAAGGGGAGAAGGAGGAGGAGGAAAAGAAGAAACCAAATAATCATGGGCTGTTGGAAGAGCACATGAAGGGAGAAAGAGCCTTCATGCTGTATCTAAGTGGTTTCTTATACCTTTCTTTTCTCCCTTCCTAGAATGCATTCTCTCCTCACCTCTGCCTCTTGGATTTTCTCACTTTCTTCAAGACTCAGCTCAAATACCACCTCCTAAGCGATGTCTTTCCTAATCCCCTTGGCCCCCCACCAACAGCTGGTGTTCTCCTTCCCTAAACACCTTGTCTTTATTTTGTGTGTATGCTGAATGTACTTATTCCATATATATTAACATATGTACACATTGTCTCTGCAATAGAACACAAGCTCCTTGAGATCAAGGACTTTTCATTTTGTCTTTACATACCCATTGCCTAGCACAATGCCTGGCATATAGTAAGCACTTAGTAAATGTTTGATTGATTGATTAATGACTGGTTCCAATCTCACAGTGAACCGCAACAGATGGAAACTGAGGTGTAAGCTCAGGCCAAATTTCTACTTCAGACAACAGTTTAACTTCATTAAGTACCCTTTTGCCTCTTTTTCTCCTTTCTGATTTACATACATATAGATAGACAAACACATAATCAACACACAAATATCTATTGAGCATCTACCATGGCACAAAGCACCATCAGCAGCAGGAAATAGCCCTCCCTTTAGAGAATAGAAACATCCACCCATCTCCATTCCACTGGTGCTCTCTAGCCAGAGCTGCTCAATTTAATGATCGTTTGTAGGGAGGGCACTTGGATCAGCTCACCTCTTCGAGCCTGGAACCCCCACTCCCTCCAGGAGACATGTGGAGGCGGCATAAATAAGGGCACCCCTATCCTCTCTAGCTCTCTTTTCTTTCATCATCCATCGGTTGTAGATCTATTCTAGGCTAATCTAAGAACTATTTGGGGCTTGGAATCCCAGAATTATTGGATGCACAGGATACTCAGAATTCTAGAACTACTAGAAGACTTCTGGAAGCATTTTGTATACAGTGCTGGAGCCCCTCTATAGTGAAAGTTGCCAAGGCTCCATAGTGATCACATTCTTTCAAGCCAATTAATAAGCATTTATTAAATACCTACTATTTGCTAGGTTGATGAGAATACAAAGACAAGAAAAAGGTAAACAGTCCTTGCCCTATAGAAGCTTATATTCTACTGGAAGAAGGGAATTACTTACATGAATAAGTAAATACAAAGTAATTTCTCACTCTTCAACCTGGTTTTACCTTCACACAGAGTCTTTCTGAATCCAGGAAGTAGCCAGAGAATTTCTACAACCCTGTGTTTGTGTTTTTCCTTCTGAGTGGCTGTGGGTGAATGCGTGTGTGTGTGTGTGTGTGTGTGTGTGTGTGTGTGTGTGTGTGTGTGTGTAAGACAGGCCAGATAAGAGGAGACAAAAAGACAGAACCCTGCTATGGGAGTGCATGGCTGGGTGGGACAGGGTGCATCCAGGTTTGTAAGAGTATAAGCATCAGTGCATACTTAGGGGTATGTGTGGGAGTGTCTGTGTTTGGGTGTTGGAGTGAATGAAGGCTTGTGTAGGTGGATGTTTGGGTGGTATTGTATGAGTGTATATGAGTGAGTGAATGTGTTTGGGGGGGGGGTTTCGGGGAAAAGGGAGGTTTGCTGGGTGTGTGTGTGTGTGTGTGTGTGTGTGTGTGTGTGTGTGTGAGTGTGTGAGTGCATGTGTGTTTAAAACATCCTCTTAAGGCTATAGAAAAAGAGGCAGGAGATGGGAGTGGGCGGGGGCGCAGATGCAGCTGTCTCTGAGCCCAATAATGCCTCCGCCAGTCCAGCACGACTGGAGCCAGTGGAGATGTTGAAATCACTTTGAAGCCCAGGCAGACATAGATAGACCGACAGCCCGGGCTCCCTCACATCCAAGTGGGTTTATGAGGGAGATTTTAGCAGCACCAGGAACAGACCCTGGATTAGAGCTGCAGGCTTCAAAAGGAGCGGGCGCACAGGCGAGCCGAGGGCTGGAGTCGCTCTGGCTTAAAGGGGACGCTGTGTATTATAAATAGCCGCCTTCCTGGCCGCACATCTGCTCGAGGCACAGACTTTCAGAGGCTCAGTTGGGTTCTTGCCCTTCTATTTCGGTGGCCTGTTGGGGGCTTAGGGAGGGAAAGGAGGTGAGAACGAAGAGGGAGAAAGCTAGGCTGATTTTAAATTAAATGTTAGCATGACTGAAAAGAAGGAATTTTTTTAAGTGGCAACATTTTTAAATTCACCCCTTTGGTTTTAAGTTGGGGGAAGATTTTCCCCTTAACACAAAAAGCACAAAAATTATTTGGGAACTGAGAAGGCGTTGGCTGAGCAATGTCCTATTGTTAGCACACACACACACACACACACACACACACACACACACCCCAGTGCCACAACAACAACCAATAAGCAAGGAAGTGGCCTTAAAATAGGGGGCTAACGATTGGATAGGGCACTGGGTTCTAGATGTTCTGACTGCTGCTATCAACTATGCTACCTACTGCTATATTGTAACTGAGCACCCAGCACCTCCCACATGGGGAGGGCTGAGAAATGACAGGAAAGAAAGCTTAGAAGCAGAATCACAAGCCATGGGAACCCAGTTCTCCTGGTGTCCCTCAGTGAATATGAGTCAAACACTCTGCATGGGATGTGTGGGGCTAATCGTGGACAGAGGAAAAAACACACACACAACAAAACAAAACAAGGAGAGTGAGGAGGAGAGCAGCCAGTGATCTCCTGGGTCCCTCCAATTTCCACATATTCCTAGCAGAGAGCTCTTTCCTCCCCACACTCAGTCCCCACCCGGGACTCCACGTGCCTCTGGAATTTCATCCCACCCCCGCAGTGGAACTTTGGGTGTCCAAAGCCATCTGTGAGAAAAGGGAGAGGGATCGCGGACTGGGGTGGGGGCTCATGCAGAAAAGAGGGGGGAGGAGGGGGTTCAGTGACTTGGGGGGGGGAGGATGGGAACAGAAAAAGCAGTAGAGAGCAAGACAGAAGTTAGGGCAATAGCCCTGGAGTAGAGAGACCGGATCTCCAGCCCGTTCACTCCTCGACTCGGCCCAGTGACGGCTCATTAATCACCCGGCACAGGGAGAGGGATTCAGGGCCCTCGGCGTCTCCTCCAATCGCCAGCCTGTTACCACAGAAACAACCTTTACCCTTCAGAGGCTTCAAAGGGTTTTTCTTCCCTCTCTCCCCTCCACCTCCAGTCTTTTTTTTCCCCTCTCATTTCTTTCTTTCTTTTTTTTTTTTCCCAGGGAATGGCTGGCAGTGGAGCTTAGATCATGTGAAAAGAGAAGGGGAGATAGAGAACCCAGGGAGGGGAGAGAGGAGAAAAGGCGGAAGAGAGGGAGACAGGCAGAGTGAAAGAAAACGAGGGGGGAGAGGGGAGAGGGAAAGGGGAGAAAGAAAAAGAGAGAGAGGGAGAGGGGGAAAGAGGGGGAGGGGGAAAGGGGAGAGAGAAAAAAAGAGCAGAGAGAAAGAGAGAGGGAGGAGAGACAGCATTGAGGAAGAGGACGGGAGAGAGAGAGAGGGAGAGAGAGGGGGAGAGAGAGAGAGAGAGAGAGAGAGAGAGAGAGAGAGAGAGAGAGAGAGAGAGAGAGAGAGAGAGAGAGAGAGAGAGAGAGAGAGAGAGAGAGAAGGAGTTCCAATGGAGAGAGTGGAAAGGAGAGATTGCAGCTACATAGTCAGGAAGCCAAGTGGAATCCCCATGCTCCCCACCTCTGACGGGCTTCTAAAAAGGAAAACAGCAAAAGGGAGGGAAAAATAAATGTGGTGGGGGAGAACTGGGAGGAGGGAGAGAAACTTGTGAAAATAAATATTTATATATTGAGAGTTTTTAATCCTTTCTGCATTTCTGTAATAAATTATTCATCTGTGTGTCTCACTCTCTCCCTCCTAGCTGCTTGGGGAGCTACAAAGGGGATTTTCCCCCCTTTTTCTTCCTCCTCCTCTTTTCCATCCTCACAATGTATTGCCAGGGATGGGGAGAAAGAGGGGAGGAGGTTCTGCTGCTGCCCCTAAGGTTAAAATAGCTTAGAATTGGTTTGGGTTGGGTTCCCCGCCCCCCCTTTAAATAGGAATAATACAATAAGTGAGTAAGAAGAGGATAAAACAACAACAACAACACGCGTCCTTGGAAGTCTGGCACCACCAACCGGGACAGAGTAAATCTTCCTCTAGAGGAATCTGGGAAACTCTGAGGCTAGAGAGAAGATTCTGAAGACACAGAGGCCCCTGAGGCAGCTCCAGACATAGCCAAGAGAACACACAATAGCAGAGTATGCATCCCACAGAAGTTCAGTCTAACATCTGATCGTGACAGTGCTCTGTGCTGGCTGCTAGGAGATGGGAGGTTTGGGTCTGGGGAAGCTCTGAGCCCTCAAGCTGCTCACCTACTGGCCAGCCTTCCTCTTTTGGCTGGACTCCGCTAATTGATTAGGGCCTTATACCAGATCCAGTGAGAGGCAACATGGTATAATGGATACAGAGTTGGTCTTGAGGTCAAGAAAACCTGGGTTCAGATCTCACCTCTGACACATTCTGGCTGCCTGACCCTGGGCAAGTCACTTAACTTAGTTCCCCTGGGTAATCCCTGAAGACTGAGTGGAAGAGAAAATTCTGAGCTGGAGTTTACTTATCTGGGAGTTCTCTATACGAAGGAAACCATGGGTCAGGTCCCTATGCCTCGCTATCTCACAAAGCTGGGAGGAACATTGACAGTATTATACAGGAGAATACATAAGGATCCAAAGAGATCTAGATAAACTGGAAGGGCACACTGAAACCAACCAGAGTGAACTGAATTGGGAAGAATGTAAAGTCCTACACTTAGGTTCAAAAAATCAACTGTACCAGAAGAAGATGGGGAGACTTGGCTTAACATCAATTCTCACAGAGAAAAATGTAATAGAGTTAGTGGACTGAAAGCTCAATATTAGTGCAGTGTGACACAGCACCGAAAAGAAAAGAGAAAAGCTAATGAAATCTAAGGCTGTGTCAACAGAAATAGAATGTTCAAGCTGAGGGAGGTAAAAATCCCACCATAGCCTGGCCCAGTCAGACCGTATCTGAAGTCTGTTCAGTTCTAGCAGGCTTATAAGAAAATCGCCAAGCTCTAATATGTCTAGCTAGGTGGCGAAGTAGATAGAACACTGACTGGGCCTGAAATCAGAAAGATCTGAGTTCAAATCCGGCCTCCGATACTTCCTACCTGGGCAAGGCACTTCACCCTCTTTGTTTCAGTTTCCTCATCTGTAAAATGAACTAAAGAAGGAAATGGCAAACCACTCCATTATCTTTCCCAAGAAAACTCCGAGAAGGGTTATGAAGAGTCAGATACAACTGAAATAACTCAACAACAACAACAAGGAGTCTAGAGAAAGATCAGGATGGTGAAGAGTCTGGCCCGTGGGTTTCTGAACCAGAAACAGGACAAAGGGATGAAATGTATGAGAGGAAAGTCTAAGGAAGAACTTTCTAACAAGTAGAATTAATAATGCCATTGGTTCTTTCCTTTGCTAGCAATAGTAATAATAGTTAGCATTTATATATGTATATGTGTGTCATTGTGCTAAGTACTTTTCAATTATTATCTCATTTGACCCTCACAACAACCCTGGGAGGTAGGTGCTATTACTATCCTCATTTTTAGGTTAAGGAAACTGAGGCAGGCAGAGGTTGCCCTGGGTCATACAACTAGAAAGGCTAGATTTGAACACAGATCTTCAGGCCCAGTACTCTACCCCCTGCACCAGCAAGCAAGCTCCCTAACAATGGAAATGTTTAAGATGATATTTAGTGACCATCCGTTAGAGGTGCTATGGAAAAGATTCTTGAATAGGACCTTAAGGAGGCAACCTCTAAATTCCCTTCTACCTTTAAGATTCTATATTTCTCACTGCTTCTGAGCCCCAGGAGAAGTTTCATGCCCAATGTAAGTACATGTGAGGACATTAAGTATTATAGTCAATCCAGGGAATAGACCCTTTTGGACCCCAATAGATTGAGAAGGGCCCCATCAGGTATCCCACAAGACATAGTATGTGATGGACAATTGTTGACATGACATCTGTTCATTAAAATTAGAAGGCAAACAGCTAATTGGGGAAAAAAGTTTTTGCAGCAAATTTCCTGATGAGGGTCTGATACCAAAGACATGTGTGTGTGTGTGTGTGTGTGTGTGTGTGTGTGTGTGAATGTATGTGTGTGTATGTGTGTATGTGTGTATGTATATATACTAGTTCTAGTTATATAAAAGCAGGAACCATTGTCCAAGAGAAAATGGTCAAAGTCTGTGAATAGTTCTCAGAAAAAGAAATCTGAGTTATCAATAATCATTTAAAAATGTCCCAAATCATTAATAAGAGAAATGCAAATTAAAACAACCCTGAGGTTGCACCTCATGCCCCGAAACTGGCAGATGACAAAAAAGAAAAATGACAATTGTTAGAGGGGCAACGGAAGAACGGGCACACTAATACACGTTGGGGGAGCTGTGAATTGGTCTAGTCATTCTGGAAAGCAGTTTGGAACTATATCCAAAAAGTCACTAAATTGTACCTACCCTTTTAACCAACAGTACCACTCATAGCCATATATCACAAACATATCAAAGAAAAGTGGGAAGGACTCGTATGCATGAAAATATTTATAGCAGT